CAGATCGGTCGGTCACGACGACGACGACGACGGAAGTGATACAGATACAGACCGGCGAAGTAGCCGCGACCATCTTTGGAAGGGAGGATCTGGAAACATAAATTTCCTTCCCGGTCGGCCCAATCTGGAATCACTCGTCCTTGACCACGCGCACGAAGCCCAGCTCAGTGAATCATCTGCTGTGGTACTGGTATGTGGGCCTTCCGCCTTGGCGGATGAAGCGCGTGCGGCGGTGCATTTGGCTATGAGACGGGGATATAGGCGGATACGGTATGTGGAGGAATCATTTAGTTGGTAGGCTACTGTTCAGGATGAGGTTACGAGGTTATGAATGTTGTTGATATATTTCATTGCAATGGAGTGCAAATGTACATAGTTATGGGCTCGTATATCTACAACATGGCGTTCATAGACTGAATTTCAACTGATGGCTCAACTATCCATCTATGACATGTATCTCTGACTCTAGATTTAGGCAAGTACATGCTATGATTTCCACTGGGCTGTTGATACATGTCAGACGATATGCGACAGCCGAATCACCATGAAATAATTACATTCTCATTGCACATCAATCTCATACAGTTATACTACTTGCTTTAACCCACAATTGAACAATAACCCAAACCCACATTCAACAAAAACCGACAATACACCCAACTCATAAACAAACAGACGGCATCCCTACCAACAAGTCAACGTCACCTTCTCATCCACCCACCTCTCCCCACCTCCAACCACCACCTCCCGAAACACCCATTCGCCGACATCCGCCCTCGGAATCGTCCATCCCACTGCAGGCTTCTCCCTCTCCGTGCCCACACGAACCTTCTCAGCCCCATACCCAGACCCCAGCATATGATTCCCGGTCAACAAACTCCCCGGCCTGAGGATCACCACTCCCCGAAACAACTCCCTCGCCTCCCTTTCCGCCAACATCTCCTCCATCGCCCACTTATCCGCATGCGGCACATGCAGCAACCCATGATACACCCGGCGCAACAGGAAGGGCACGTCAATTTGCTTCTGGCTCGGATCGACGCCCATACCAGAGAGAACGGTGAGGAGCGGCCGATTTGCTAGGTTCGAATGGAGTAGGAACTCCGGGTATGTGTTGTAGATATCCCGCAGGGCTGTGAGCAGCGCCCGTGTCGCTTCTTCGCAAATATGCGGCTGGTCAAATTCGAATGCCCAGCCACGAAGGTGCCCTGTGGCGCCGATTCCGGAGATGATATGGGAGACTAAGGTTGGAGGAGTAGCAGAGGAAGGCCTTAGGAGAAGTGTATTCTTCACGGCTTCTGGGTCGGTCGCATCGCCGGTTATTATACGGAGTTGGGAGTCCAGAGTCTCTTGGTTTATGTTATGGCTGCGGAGGAGGGCTATAAGCTTGGTTGGAGTGCGGGCTAGTGCGACGGCGTGGTAGCCATTCTGTAGGGTGTGGGCGAGGCAGGCGTTGATGCAGCCGCCTGTGGCGCCGAGGAAGGCGATGGTTGGTTTGGACATTGTGTGTTCGTCTATGTGTGCGGAATGGAGGATAATGGGAGAAAATTAGTGAGTGAATTAATGATGAAGGATGGAGAATGGAGGTTTCGAAATGTTGACAAGGTCAGTCGGTGGTGGGTTTATATTTGCGGCGAGGGATCAGAAAGTCTCCGTTGCCAGACGGAACTGAAGGAAGAAGATGCGCTGGGACCATTATTCTCCCGCAGATGGATCGATGACCGTGGTTGAAACCATCCACTTGGGAAGCAGCACGTTGGTTTTTGAGAGGTAGTGGTGTGTTTGCTTCTGCTACTTGTGTGTTATGTGTTTCATGATACTTAGGTAGGGTTTGGCGGTGCTTGTGAAGCCTTCTTGGTCCACCAACATAGGTGTCAAACACGTGTATACCTTCCTAACAATATTTCTGTCGTGCTTATTAACTTGTAACTCTACGACTGGTGAACAATGCATTTGGCAAATTCAATTTGTGTCAATGTATCCCCTCACGGCCGTAATATTTGCGGATACTTTTGCTTTCAGGTCATGCTTGGTTATGATTCGGAGGTATATTTTCGAAGTGTAGTTGCTCATTCTATTAGATGTGGTACTTGCATGTTTCCATTGGTTATGCAACGATATATTTCAAATGAGTCTCCGACGGCAGCCGACAGACATCACCGTCGTAGTATGACTGGAACTAATCCGTTGAGATGTGAGCGTCCATCTCCCCGGAGTACTACGCAACCCTAGATAATGTGACCATAGGCATCACTAGCAGAGATAGCCCTCACAGCCAGCAGACCACCCGAGCCGGAAACCAGGCAGCTAGTTACATGGATGCCTACTTAACTAAGAAGTGCCGCCGGAACCAGTGACTTTCAGCTGCGTATAGCTCCTTTACACTGCTAATTGTGTACTCCGTGTAGTGTCGCTAGTCGGCAAAGTGGAGATGATGTATGCAGTCTGCTGGCTTTGTTGATGCACCCAAAGTGCTAGTTAGTCGATCTCAAAGATCTATCTGCATTGTTGAGGAAATGATAGTCACCAGGTGGTCAGTGCTTGCTGTTGAGACAAACATCTTTCTCCATGTTGCGGACTATCTTGTGACTGACTTGCGGACCCACAAATGAACACTATTCTTGAATGAACCCCTGTTCTAAAGCTTTAACTTGCTTCCTTAAATTCAGATATGATAGTTCTCAAAAGAATCCAGGAAAGTTTGTCTTGATTCTCTCTCTCTTCGTGGTGCTACCGGGCAGGTGCTAGAGATAGATATTCGACTCAATGAACTGCCACGAACACTGATGTATTAATCCGACGAGCATACTTTGATCGCAAATATCCCGGAAAATAGCTAGGGTAATTTGTTATTGATCCGAGGGCTCATTTCTGAACAACTGACTCGAGTTTGCCTTCCAGACAGTCTTTTTGGGCGATTTTCTATGATATCAGACCTATCCGGTGGGTCACACATGAGATGTCACGAACTCATATGTCTTCCGTCCACAAATTGCATGAGGTTCGGAACGACATCTGCTGCAAGTGATATGTCATGTATATCCCCTGAATATCATGCATCTCTGTGGGGATTTGCCCGAACCCAGCTCACTAATTCCGAAATGTATGCAGAGGTTGCATAAGCGATTCATGCAGGAGTAACTACGTTGGCGAGGACTTCGCTACACATATTCTGGATGTCACTTGAATAGTCCTTGATGATCTCTCTTCCGAGAGACCTTCAGCGCTGTAAAATGCGCACTGCCACCACCAAGACTATCCTCATGCAAGGAGTTAACTGATTTCTAGACAAGAGTGTCTTGAACCCTAATCGGCGGTTGAAAGCTTCATCATCGCAGAGGTTTTCAGATGGCCGTGATATTCCATAAAGACCAAAGGGCATCCAGGTGCAGTCCAACAACTATAAGAAGGCATCTCGCGGCCATCCTTTCAACCCATCAACAACACAATCCAAGATTTTCTCTTGTCTATCTCACACATCACTCAACCAATCTACTACTCTTCTTTACCTCTATCCAACCATCAATCATCATGAAGTTCTTCGCAGTTGCCACCCTCGTCGCGGCCACCGCTATGGCCGGTGCTGTCCCTCGAGGCTACCAGTGGATCAGCCACAACGACCGCTCAGAATCAGGTCTCAGCAGCTCTCATGCTCAGAATACCTGCGGAACGAACAATGTAAAGTGCTGCCAGGGTTTCAGTCCCGAGCATGGGCTGTCCCGCCAAGATGAGAGTCGCTTCCGGGCCGGATTGGGCGAGGGTGTACCCGGCGAATTGCAAGGTGGAAACAACTGTGGTCCTTGTAAGTTGATCTCCTTGAAGCGTTTGCTAGGTATCGAAGCTGATCAACTTGTCTAACAATAGGCGGCAATGAAGAAGGATCTCGGAGCGTTGCCTGCTGCTCTGAAGGCGTGAGTGACCTGGATTCCTAACCAGGTCAGATGAAAGATACTGACAATCACCTTGACACAGAGCAATAACCTCATCAGCCTCCCATGCATTGCCATTGGACGCCTGATGTAAATGTCACTCTTCGCTGCGCGAGTATTCCGGGGAGAGTCTCTCAGCAATGCTGGATATTGTACAGTTGGGTGGTATCAATGGGGTCAAAAGATGATATGTTGATGTTTGCGCGTCATAGTAGTATTTGAATGTTTTGGAGTTAGTTTACTCTTCTTCATTGGCTCTTTATTCGTTAGTTGTCGTCTACAGAATCTTCCTTGGTGACTGGAGAGTCCGTTTAGCTTATATCAACACGAGTTAATCGAAGCCCAGGACTGGATATACCTTATTTTGTTGATATGGTTCAAGACGTCAGTGTTAAATTACTAGGCTGGGCTTTAAGCTTCAATACTAGGAAGCAGGGTTTTGAGTTGTGCACAGCTTGAGCAGGACATTGCCTTGGAGAGTATAAAATCTTTATCATCAGACCGATTGGCCTAGTGGTTTTAGGGCGTCTGTCTTACATAATTGAAGCGCACAGAAGGTCCCCGGTTCGATCCCGGGATCGGTCATTTGTTTTGTTTTTTACTCACATAACTTTTTGCTCTCATGCTTCTTTGATCGAATTTTATATTGATAGTTCTTTCTTTTGCTGGTCAGGCTGGCATTCTGGAGCTCTTATGTCAATGTTTCAAGTATTCCGCTCATCACTCTGTGCAATATCCTTGCTGGAACACTTCGGGAGCCATTCCGGGCCAACCAAGCCCGCCTATAGTCAGTCAGTCCACTGCAATCAACTTACGCAAGTACGACGAATATGATGCGCATATTGCGTGAACCTCGACATATTAAAATTTAGTACAACAGTAATTGAACTTTGCTCCCACAATACGAGTTCAGTTATTCTTGGCTGGCTCCTGTCAATTTAGTCATCCGGCCTCCACCGGAAGAGATCCCGTTCCCCGCGACCCCGGATTTTCTTCCTTCTGCATCGCCCAACTACTTGCTGTATCTCCGGGGTCTTCTATCCAGGATCGCATGACACCCCAGATCCCTCCCCACCATGTCTAGCGTGCAAGACTCTCATGTTCGTCATTCCGACAGCTCTGGTCGCCCCAATAAACGTCGCAAAGTGGCAATTGCGTGCGACGAATGCCGTGCTCGGAAGGTCCGCTGTGACGGGAGACAACCCGGTGCGTTATTCCTCACTTGTGACTCTTCCGAGAGACCCAGGTTACGTCGCTAATCTCTGAGTGCCAAGTCTGTGGGCCATGCGCAAAACGAGTGGACCAGGGAAGCCAATGTGTTTACACTGGGGAACTGGAGAAAAAGCGAGCAGTTCGCAAGTGAGTGCCTTCTGGCTGCCTCAGGCACTAACGGGCTCCTTCCCGATTTGTCCAACTCGAACTAACGGTCATCTCACGATGGCAGTTACATCGAAAGTCTGGAAAGCCGGATCAAACATCTAGAGAGTCCTCGTTCCTTTTATGACAGTGGAGAAGGACGGCCTGTGCAATCTTATGATAGCTCGGACCAGTTGCAGGTAAGCTACTCCTTGGAGTAAACCACCTGTGAGAGTACTAGTATGTTCAGGTCACACTCACACTTTGCAGCATCATGCCTCGCCCTCTATGGGAGTGTCCACTCGCCATAATCGACCTGGGAGCATTGTCTCTACAGCGACTACGAATGCAGACCATCTTTCTCCGGCGCGAAGCACCCCACAATGTACACCCAAAGTAAATCCCCATCTTGTCACTAGGCACACTACTACCTATCAGTCACCAGCCTCGCTGGATCAGTCGCTTCGACTGAAAGACCCAACGGACAGTGTCAACGCCATGATGGGTGCCGTGGAGGATGAACGTCCCACACAGGGCTTTTTTGGCAGCTCTAGTGCTGCCAGCTTTATCCGTCAAATCAAAACTGCCATAGATAAGAAAGTTTCGTCGCCGAACCGCCACACTTCGGATTCGATTCTTGGGGTTGGTCCGCCTCCCAGTTTGATGTCCACGAAGAAGCCACGGTTATCCACAGTCCCCAACTATGTCCTCCCTCCACGAAAGACGGCAGATAGCCTCATGGGGGTTTACTGGGAGTTTGTTTTCCCACTATATCCACTCGTTGACAGCCTTCAGTTGAGAAGAGAATATGAGATGATTTGGACAGGGGAGGCTCTTCAATCTGATGAAAACATGCTTATGTGTACCGTCAATGTCATTTTTGCACTGGCCTGTCAACTGGCTGACTTTATCCCACCAGAGGAGCGGGAGGCTTCTGCAGATGCATTCTTTACTCGTGCAAAGGATCTTCTTCAATTCAACCTCTGGAATACAGGCTCCGCTGCTCTAATTCAATGTCTGCTTCTAATGGCTCAGTATTTGCAAAGCACCGACTCCGCTCATCAGTGCTGGATTGTCACCGGGCTGGCTATCCGCAATGCCCAAGGCCTTGGCTTGCATCTTCCCCAAACAATCGCTCGTCTTCACAATCCACAGGAACAGCAGCTGGCTCGCAAAATATGGCACGGATGTGTCCTGATGGATCGGTACGTGATCTCAATCTGATCAGTCGGTCTGTCCGAGTTCTGACATCTTATAGAGTCATATCCATGACATTTGGACGCCCTGCCATGATCTCTAAGGCATCGTGCGGGTCGGTTCCTCTACCAGCTACGGTGGACGAGGAGTATATCCCTGCAGTGTCTGGGTCCGAGGTGACACAGCCAGCAGACCGACCATCAGTCATGGCATTCTATGCAAAGTCTCTTGAACTTTATGAAATCCTGAATGATATCCTCTTGAGTCTGTACAGTCCGACAACCGATGAAAGTCCAGAAGACATCTATGACTATTACTTCAATAAAGAAGCCAATCAAGGAGAGCGGACCATATTCGAACTCGACCGGGCACTTACGAAATGGTCCCGAAGCCTACCATCACACTTGCGAGGTGAATCACATCTAGGGGGCGGATATACAGTCTTCTACCACCAAAGTGTTGTATTGCGTGCAAGGTAGGTTACCATTTGTGTGTTCAATGGTGAACTTCCAAACTGACCCTTTCGCAAGATTCCTTCACGTAAGGATGCTTCTCTTCAGACCTATCCTGTCCAGATACTGTACTTCACGTGAAATCGGGATTGCGGATCCAATGATTTCCCTGCAAGACTCTTTTCCTCAGCGAGTTGCATTGCAATGCTCGACCATTTGCGTCAAGGTTGCTCAAGAGGTTATCGGGCTAATACACAGTAATCTGCCCGCCGATGGAAGTTCAGGCCCTCTTCCTGCCTGGTGGTACAACATCCTATGTGAGTAGCTAGCCCTGGTGAATAACTTTCAGCGAAGCTCATGATGTACAGACGTTTACACCGCTGCCACCGTTCTCATAGCCGGTCGTCTCTGTCCTGCTATATTAGAAGAGGTGACTGAAGCTGCAATCACGCAATCGTGGGGAAACGCTTTGGAGGTATTGCAAAGATATCATAGCCACAGCACGTCCGCCCGGCGATGTGTTGCAGCTCTCGAAATTCTCTACGAACGGGTAGTATCTGAAGGGCCTCCACTCCATGACCACCAAACGAGCGCTTTCCCCACGAACCCTGCGTCTAATGGTCTCGGCGATCTCTCTTTAGGGGAGGGTATCAATTCAATACTGTTGGATAGCCTTGACTTCCCAGACTTTCAAGATATGTCATGGTTGAACAGTGTTCCCAGCAACCTCTTCTGAGCGGGCTTCCTGATGGTGAATCATTTTCTACATACGCAATTAGCAGAACAAACTTTGTTTCTCGGTCTGCTACACGAAGGTGGATTTTGCGAGTTGTTTCGAGCAAACCAGCTAATTACAGCAAGGCATCGGTCTAAGCAAGGCAGCTGTGGGAGAACGTAATGTCCTTTTTCTTTTCTCTGAATAAATTTACGACATATCCAAGCCTGTAAGTCATCCAAAACATAGGTGTTCAATTATGCTGTTTGAAGTTGTACATCACTGACTCTATAGTATAGATTCTTCCATGCCATGACCATATCAGTCAGTAACATCAACTTGCATCTTCTGGTCTGTGCGCGTAGCCACAAAATGTATGGTGATGATTGGGAGAAGTGCGCAGACTCCGATGATAGCACACATGACTCCAGCTGCACCGCCCAGACCCAAAGTCTCGAACATGTCAGGGAAATAGAAAGGACCGATCTGGAACCATTAGCAGAGAGCTACTAACGCTTGGTGCTCTTTGACTTACAAAACCATACACATGTCGAAAGACGTTGATACAGACGCCGATACTGGTCGATGCTTCCTTGTAGCTGTCGATGGCGAACGAAATCAGGATTGTCGTTATGATTTGGTTCCCAAAACTGGCGATTGCTGCACCCACACATGGGGTCACGTTCCAGCTGGTAGCCTTCTGTAACTGGAAGCCCCATACGAGAAGGCCAGCAATTACAGTGGCAAATCCAATGTTTGAGAGCCATAGCCGGTCTGCGGGGCGGTGATATCCTCTTCTTTTATGCATGACTTGCAGAAACCGGTCTGACATAGGGCCACTCAACTGCTCGCCGAGGACACACCCGATAAAGATAGCAATGAACTGCAGACCGATTTGCTGCGAATCGAAGTCAAACTTCTCACCGAAAACGATTGGCATTTCGACAATCAGAGCAATGTTTCCATAGCAAAACACTATAGAATGAGCGAACGCAGGAATCAGCACCCTAGGCAGCCTCGTAAAAAGAAGTGGCTCGATAAATTCGCGAATCTTAAGGGGACGAGGGTTGATCCGGCGAGGGATAAACTTCTGGACGAAGCGAGATCTCGCCACCGCTGCATCAGAAAGACCACCGTCTGTCGGGATGTATAGCGTTTCTTCACCCAAGAGCAGGTAAGCGATGAACTGCCCGAAATTCATCATGGCGAATATCCAATAGATCCACTCAAACCCAATGTGCTTTGTGACAAAGCCCATGATGAATGGCCCACCTGGAGTTCCAAGGGTCAACATAAGTGTCCACCATCCAAGTTTCTGCGCTCGCTTCTCCGGCTCACACAGCTCCGTGATCACACCGCTGCCTATCCCCATAGGAGGAGAAATGAGGACTGCAGTGAGCACTCGAGTGGCCATTTGTGTCCCGTAGGTTGTACAACGAGCTCCGCCGATATTGCAAACCATACTTCCAAGGACGGAAAACAGGAAAACATGGTGTCGTCCGTAAGTAGAGGTAATAGGTCTCCAGAAAAGGGGACAAATTCCTAAAAGCAAGATCTGTATGGATGATCGAGGTGAGTCGGGCTATCCTTTCAACATAAAAGGGGAAGGAATTGACTCTGTCAAGGGAGGAAGAAGTAAAGATATCACGGACCTGGACAGAGGTGAGATAACTGGCTTGTGGCACGGTTACGTTGTACCTTTCAGCCATAATGTCGTAGGCCGGTATAATGCCGGCCGCCATGAAGGTTGCAGCCATCGAATGAAAGGCCACCATCAGGATTTGGGCATTCTTCTTCCAGACAGGCCAATTCTGAGGGTTGGTGGGAGAGGTATCGGTCCAAGAGCTCCTATTGGGCTGCTGGTCAGGTGGCGTGGGAGATACATTCTCAAGATGAACCTCTTCATGACCGTTCTTCTTCAGTGTGTCAGAGCGGGCCATGTCGGTGCCCATGGATACTTCTTCTGTCATGGCTGCAGAGAAGAGTATGCTGGGCGCAGATCGAGGCGTTGAGGTATGGTTGTAAAAAGAGATTAAGGCCAGAGGTGAGCGGTGTTGGTGAGGACTAACACTACCAACAGCTCTATACAAAGATACTAGTCTTCAGCCTACTTTATATTCCAGGCAGCCCTGCACCGCGGTGTGCGTTCCGGTCCCCTTGCAGGCCATGACCACGGGACCTGAGCTGAGCCAAGCTGAACGCCATATCAACAGAGCGCACGGTCCTTGGGCAGCTGGATGCCAAGAAGGTATATCATGCGGATCATCAATAATTAACCACTGATGAGAGGAATTGATTCCGAATTGTGAGCTCAGTAGTGGCCAACAACTTGCTACCCGAGGTTATACACTGCAGACCCAAGCCAACGCTGACCGGGATGGCATCCGACGGAATGTTCGGTGATGGGCGTCGGATGCGGGTCCGTTGATCTTGACCCAACTTTATAAGACCCTGATGCTGTCGCGAGTCTGGGGGAAGCTAATTGCTAGCATGTACCGGGGTTCAGGGGGTCTTGATCCGGGGTACGGATGGATCCCCGCATTTCACTGTCTCCAGATCTAACTTTCCGTGTCGGAAGTTCTATCGGCTAGATTCAGGGAAATGGCTCTCAACTTCGGATGTCGTCTTGGCTGGATGGATCATGTACTGTATGGACTTGTGGTTAGTTCTGTATTGAGTCCAGGGGTTCAAGGAGACATCTTAATGAGGACTGACGCGACTGATGACATTTTGATGGACAATCCGGCAGTTTCTACGGCACTCACCATCGCCATTGACTTTTGTCGTAGGATTCCTTGAGGAGGGTGCTTCTCGCAAGGACGTGTCTTTGGTGCCAAACCTGGCTATCCAGGATAGATGTGAATGCATGGCAGAGAGTCAACTGATATATTACTACTCACAGCAGACTAGAGCTTTCGATACTAGTGCACCTAGTAGTAGCTCAGGATAGCTTCCTCACAGTCAGGGGATGAGGGGATCAAAGCTACTAAAATAATCGGGGCAATGCTGGCCGAGCTATTTTTCCGTTGAATGACTGGCAACAATTTCTCCGTCTCGCTTGGCTGCTAAATCCCCGCGATTTACCCCAGATTCTAAGCGACAGCCTCTGCAGCCATTGACGGGCACTTAAACACCCTCAAGTCACTAATTTCTTCCTGTCATGCATCGCACACACTTCTTGGCCCTGCACAACAACATGTTGTCAATCTCCTCATTCGGGGTAATACAATCCGCACCTCAGCACTCTCACCACCACAAAAATTATAAGATGGCATACAATCTATTCTCCACAGAACCCTCCAATCCCACCTACAGGGTGCACCGCCATCTCCTTCAGACAGTACCACCACCACCATCACAATGCGACTCCTCCACCCCCTCATCCCAACCTCCCTCCTCCTCACCCTCACCACCGCAACCCTACACACTACTCAAACCAACACCACCATAACCCTAACCAACAACCGCCTCACCGCCAACTTCTCCAAATCCCAAGGCCGAATCACCGACCTCTACCTCGACAACCAAGACCTCCTCGGACCCCAATCCGGCGACACCGGCGTCGGCCCCTACCTCGACTGCTACTGCATCCCCTCAGGCTTCTACACCCCAGGCTCAACCTCCCCAACTCTCCAACTCCTCACGGGCGTCGACAAATCCGGAACCCACTATGCCGGTGTCCTCATGGACGAGACCTACCCGCCAACAGGCCAACACTTCCAGCAATACTGGTTCCTGCGCGACGGCGAAACCGGCCTACACACCTTCAGCCGATTAGCGTATTACAACGAGACGACGCCATACTTGCGCAACTTGCAGGAGTTTCGCACCCTGTTCCGTCCCAATACGGAGCTTTGGACGCATTTGACGTCCAGTGAGGTGCAGACTGCGCCGTTGCCCAGTACCAAGGCTGTCGAGGAGGAGGTGGTCGTGCAGGATGCCACTTGGACGTTTAATAATACTCCCGGTGATGCGTATTATGTCCAGTTTGCGGATTATTTTACTAAGTATACGTTTTCAAATGGTATGTTACACGTTTGTTTCTGTGTATGTGGCGTTGGGGGAGCATTGCTGACTTGTGGCTGTTTAACTAGCGTGGAGGGATAATTCGGTTCATGGCATGTATGCTGATGGGAGTACCTCGAATGGGAGTACGTTTGGGGCTTGGTTGGTTATGAATACCAAGGTATTTTGTATCCTGGAATGTTTACCGGAGTCGTGACTAATGAGGCAACTTGTGTTTTGTTTAGGATACTTACTACGGTGTATGTCACTACGTTCTTTCAGCCGGGGTGAAACATACTGACAACCTGCATAGGGGCCCCTGCACTCGGATCTCACCGTCGACGGCATCGTCTACAATTACCTCGTGTCCAATCACCACGGCGAAGGCACTCCCAACATTACCTACGGCTTTGATCGCACCTTCGGCCCTCAGTACTATCACTTCAACGGCGGAAAGGGCTCCACTGCGTCTCTGAAGGAGCTGAAATCTGATGCAGAATCCCTAGCAGATCCGAGCTGGAACGTCGACTTCTACGACTCCATCGCCAAACACGTCGTCGGATACGCCCCCTCCAGCCAACGCGGCAGCGTTCAAGGGAAGATCGAGCTTCCCAAAGGTGCCACTAGACCTATCGCGGTCCTGACCGTGGACGGACAGTATTTCCAGGACAACTCGGTGAACTCATCCTCATACCAGTACTGGGCTGAGATCGACGACTCCGGACATTTCAACGTGGACCACGTCAAGGAGGGACCCTACCGACTTACTGTATACGCCGACGGCATCTTTGGCGACTTCGTACGCGACGGCGTGCAAGTGAAGGCCGGCAAGAAAACCACTATTCAAGAAACCTGGGAGGCAGAGTCCGCAGGCACCGAGATCTGGCGACTAGGCACGCCAGACAAGTCTTCCGGGGAGTTTCGACACGGCGTTGCGAAGGACCCTACGCACCCGCTTCACCCTCCAGAGTACCTGATCTACTGGGGTGCATACGACTGGCAGTCGGACTTCCCTGACGGAATCAACTATACCATCGGCACCAGCGATCCCGCAACCGATCTGAACACTGTCCACTGGTCAGTATTCGGGCCGACACCGAACGATCCGCGCGTCGAATACGACACCACGCACGACTGGACGATCAACTTCTCTCTGAGTGAGGACGATCTCGCAGAGCGGTCCACGGCCACGTTGACCATTC